AGAACACTCTTTGACATTAATCACAGCAAGATCTTTTTTGACCCACCTCCTAGAGTAATGGAAATAAAAATGAAAATTTAAAAATGGGCCTAATGAAACTTAAAAGTTTTTGCACAGCAAAGGCAACTGTATACAAGATGAAAAGACAACCCTCAGTATAGGAGAAAATATTTGCAAAGAAATGAATGGACAAAGGATTAATCTCCAAATATACAAACAGCTCATGCAGCTCAATATTAAAACAAACAGCCCAATCAAAAAATGGGCAGAAGAAGACCTAAATAGACATTTCTCCAAAGAAGACATACAAATGGCCAAGAGGCACATGAAAAGCTGCTCAACATCACTTATTATTAGAGAAATACAAATCAAAACTACAATTACGTATCACCTCACACCAATTAGAATGTGCATCATCAGAAAATCTACAAGCAACAAATGCTGGAGAGGGTGTGGAGAAAAGGGAACCCTCTTGCACTGTTGGTGGGAATGTAAATTGATACAGCCACTATGGAGAACAGTATGGAGGTTCCTTAAAAAACTAAAAATAGAATTACCATATGACCCAGCAATCCCACTACTAGGCATATACCCAGAGAAAACCATAATTCAAAAAGACACATGCACCCCAATGTTCATTGAAGCACTACTTACAAGAGCCAGGTCATGGAAGCAACCTAAGTGTCCATCAACAGACGAATGGATAAAGAAGATGTGGTACATATATACAATGAATATTACTCAGCCATAAAAAGGAACAAAATTGGGTAATTTGTAGAGACATGGATGGATCTAGAGACTGTCATACAGGGTGAAGTAAGTCAGAAAGAGAAAAACAAATATTGTATATTAATGCATATATGTGGAATCTAGAAAAATGGTACAGATGAACCAGTTTGCAAGGTAGAAATAGAGACACAGATGTAGAGGACAAACGTACGAACATCAAGGGGGGAAAGCGGCGGGGGGGTGGTGGTGGTGGTGGTGTGATGAATTGGGAGATTGGGATTGACATGTAGACACTGATGTGTATAAAATTGATGACTAATAAGAACCTGCTGTATATAAAAAATAAAAATCTAGAGGGGCTACATCCAAGATTCTGAAAGAAACTGGGGATGTGCTCCTCTGACTTCTTCCAAGTACGCAGTCTGATTCACGTGCTGGAGACTGGTTTGTCACCCATGCTAGAGACCAACACCCATCCTCTTCTACTAAGTGGGTTTTCAAATTCTTAAAGAAAAAGGCCGCAGAAAATATTACATTATATTCATACAGAAAATATAAGTAAAGCCAAGCCAAATGAATCAGCTTTTTGTAAAACCTCAACTCCAAAAACTCTTTCTTCACAGGAGTTAATATTTCACTTCATGTTGCCAAAAAAACCCAAACTTTCAGCAATGGTATCAGAGAGACTTGGTGTTGGGAAATACTTTCACTGAGGCTGAAGTCTGATCTGGTAGACTCTATTCCCATGTGAACTTCCCCCTTCCATTCCAAGAAGCTCATTTGAACATATTCATCACTACAGGGTAGAAACAGTTTGTAAATTCAGGTTAGCTGTTTCTAACATATGCCAGCAGTATTCAGACACAGCAGTTTCAGATGATAGAGTAACTGCCTGGAAACTATTTGGATTATTTTAACATAACTGAACTAAGAGAATCCACGTTAAACTTTGGGAGCTTGTTCCTACAATAAGTAAACGTAACAACTGCTATTTATTAGCTTCTACATAATGCTGGAGTTGTGATGGGCTTCCCTAACTTTTAATCATAAGAGCCCTCAACCAGCTAAGGTCTTTTGCTAACTGTTGATGGTTAGACTTCAAGCTTTGGTAGTGGGTGTATTCTTTTAACCTCAGAAGGGGAGGAGAAAGATGGTAGTTTTGTAAGCTTGGATAGACACTCTAAGCCACAGCTTTGACACACAAGTAAAAGCACGATGACTGTTTAGTTCTAGGGTAACGTAGGTGAGCAGATAAGAGGTGCATATCTACAGGTAAACTTTTAAAACATATCACCATTTGCATCCCACACACTTTAATCACTGTCTCCCATATTGTTCTAGAACTGCACTGTTCAATATGGTAGCCTCTTGTTGCTCTTGAGCATTTGGAATGTGCCTTGTAAAATGAAACATACTATACGGGTAAAATACCAGATTTTGAAGGCTCGATATGAAAAAAGAACAATGTAAATATCTCATTAATAATTTTTATATTGATCGTGCTAAAATATTTTTACTTTATTGGGTTAAATAAATGTATTAAAATTTTTAAAAATATCATGAAAACATCTTAGAATGGAGAAATTAATCATGAGTACAAAATTACTAATGGTTCCATGGGATGCCTCGAACCTTCTGTGCAAATAGCACATACTGATTCTTACCTTCATAATGTAGTGACCCCTGATTTTTTTTTTACTAAGTTCGAGTCTTCTCTGCAAACTGTTACATATTTTTAAATTTAACATAAATTAGAATAAATTTTGATAAGCTAATTTTTAAGCATATCACCAAATCTAGATGCCTAGTTTATAGCAAAGAACAAATACTAATACTTATTGACCACCTATATGTGTCAGAGCCTCTAAAAGATGACTTCACAGTGTCTAATTTAACCCCCAAAGCAAGCCTACAGGGCAGATTTTACTGTTCTAAACCTGAGTCTCAGAGACATTAAGTGACTTGCAATTGGTTCTTGGTTACCCTACTAGCATATGGCAGAGTGGCTATCCCTACCCCAGGCTGGTATCAATGCCCACATTTTGCTGTTACCCACTATGCCTCTCTTGCAGCTGGGTTAAAAATCCCTGGTACAGACTATACAGGTTCCAAAATCATATAGAGTAATGTTATACCAGAAACTTCAAAGAAAATGTTTAGAATGTACTTCTCAAGGGAGGCAGAGGTAACTTCCATTGGAATAGGCTGGAATAAGATTTTTGCCTCCAGATGAAATAATCACCAGTATAAAGGCGATCAAAATACCAAGAATAAAACATCATCGAATTCCATATTTTAAATTTAGTAGCCATTATTGACCTTCAGTTCCAAGACATACATTTAAAATATGTTGATATTAAGGCCAATGATGTTGCCATTTGACATTACTGGCCATTCAAAGGTGAAAATGAATCTTTATTGACAGCAGTTATTCCTGAATTCTCAGAGGCTTGTATGAAGTAAAAGTATTTAAAATTTTTAAAGGAGATGATTTCAGAACTTGAGGCAGAAGCAGAAATGATTTCAAGCTATCGGGGCCTTTTTTTAGATTATGCAATATATTAATATTGCTTCACTAAAGATTAATAGTACATTTGCCACATTATTAAGTTAACAGGTTTCTGTGTCTGTGATTCATGCCGACAATAACTTTATTCCTGTTAACAATAATTCTCACTTGAAATCAGTAACAGAAACTTTCAAGTTGTGCTGAGATCCTTTCAGTCTTAGAGTAGTTCTGCTGCCAGCACTATTTTAAAAACCATCATTCATTTTCCTCTGACTGGGGATACATGCTTAATATTTTGATGGAACTAGGGCAGAACTAGCTAATACTCCCTTCCCTCTTGCCATCTGTACCCAACCAAAACAATCCTGTTTACAGTCCCAAGGGTCAAATTAAAGATTGGAAGATAAATTATCACCAGGACATATTTTATACAGATAGAAAGAATCTCAGTGAAAATGTGGTCCATTCCTGGATTTAGGCAGGTAACATAGCAATAGGCTCATTTTACAACTGGTGGGCTGGTTAGCAGCTGTACTGACTTATGACTCTGCTTCTCCTTATACCTTCTCGAATTGCACAATTGATAATAGAGAAGGAGTTAGTGAAGGTTTCAAACAAGAAGCTGTTATCTGGATGTTTGAGCCGGGTTGCTCTCCCAGGATGGAGGTAAGGCAGGATTCCTAATGTAGTTCACACACTGTAAGAAAAAATGGAGAATCCATTCCTCAAGGACAAGACTTGGGTTGACTTTCTCGCCAAGCCACTCAGTAGCTTTGTGTGCCCCTGGGAATGAAAGAAATACTCTGTGCTACTAATGATAATGACAAAGATGTGATTATTGCAACACAGCTCATGAACTATAAAAGTGAGGAGATGCCCCTTTTCCTGTGACATTGTACTTTAGTTCTGATGTTGTGACCTAATGAGAGGTTAGGAATACTTGAAGAGACTCCAAGTTAATGTTAGAGTTTTAGTTAGTATTAGGTTTTTTTAAAAAAATTCTAACACTACCTTGATGGTTTCCAGCGAGGTAGAGGTGTTGTTAGTGTTTCGTTTTTGTTTTCATTTCTGCTACTTTATTGTGCAACTTTTTTCTTGGAGTTCCCTTTTTGGTCCTCTAGTGCCACACAATTAGTTTAAAAGGAGAGTATAGACACAAGTATGTTTTCTCTCCCTTTTCTCGTTTTATTTGGCTTATGTTAAAAACAAGGCCAATCCAGGTAGCCTATAAAGACAGCCTACAACAAGTAATGTGTTTCCTCACTGGGTCCCCTCTTAGGGAAAAATCATTCTTACCTATTTCGCCATCAAACTCGATGGTATTTAAAGGATCTAGTCTGGCCCCAAACTATTTTTTAATCCAGGTGAAAATGAAAGTCTTAATACTTTCTACTGGCTTTTGCTTTATTGTTGGGAAAAACAAAAAGCTTATTTGCTTATATGCAAAATTTATTACATGATTTCTTATGTGTCATCCCAAGCACAAAATTAGGGTCACTTTTACTTTTCCAAGGAAAATTAAGAAGATAGACTAGATGACAAAATATTCGTCCATAAAGAATCAGTAGAATTGTCAATAGACTAGACACAGTTCCTACTCTTCCTTTGTCAGTTCATAATCATGACCTTGGAGACCCGGGGAACATCCAGCTCATCTGTCACAGAGTACTGGCAGGGGACAAGGAATCTGCCACAGGACACTTCCTCCAAAGTTACTTTAACCACTGTCTTACTGAATGGCTCTTTCCCCCTTCAAATACAGATTCCTTCAGGATATTATCTGCAGACCATGAATTCCAACCTGAATTTGGGTGGATTTCTTCTGCCAGTTGCAGTAATGAATGTCGTCAGCATCCTACCACTACTACTTTTAGCTCCTTTAATGGAGTATTTCAGCACCTGCCTATATCCCTCTAAGAGAGATGGCCCATTTCTGTTGGCATGCATTAGTAAGTACAACTTACCATTTCAAGCGAATGGTTTACAACTTTTAAAATAAAAAAACACTGTACTAGGATCTAAGCTAGCTATATGCTCTGGAGTAGTCTGATTTTGACAAATTGGGAAGAAGGTGAATTTGAGAGTGATTATGTCCAGCTTCTCAAATCTCTACATAGACATCAGTGTCCCATTTTCTTTTCATCCTTTTATGCTTCCTCAGAAGACACACATAAAGACTTGGTGCAACTTCCAATGCCACCAAATGGCCTCTTCTTCTTCAAGTAAAGCAGTCTCTACTCTTACGTCGATGCTGAGAATGTTCTTAAAAATTAACACAGGTAATGGACCTAAAAAATAATGCTGAGCTACATTTGGGAGGCTTTAACTTCTGAACCAGCAGAAAAATTTATTAGAAGTCAGTCATATTCACAGCTTTAATATAGTACTTCTTCCAATAGTAAAGTGTATGACAGTAGTTTTCAAACATTTTTTCCAGCTTTATTGAGATATAATTGACATACTGTATAAGTTTAAGGTGCACAGTGTCATGAATTGATGCAAGTCTATATTGCAAAATATTTATCACAATAAGGTTAGTTAACACATCCAATACCTCACATAATTACAGCCTTGCTGTTGTTATGGTCTACTCCTATTTTTTAAAATTAATTTATTTTATTTTATTTATTTTTGGCTACATTGGGTCTTCATTGCTGCGCGTGGGCTTTCTCTAGTTGCAGCGAGCGGGGGCTACTCTTCGTTGCTGTACATGGGCTTCTCATTGCGGTGGCTTCTCTTGTTGTGGAGCACGGGCTCTAGGAGCGCGGGCCTCAGTAGTTGTGGCGCACGGGCTTAGTTGCTCCACAGCACGCGGGATCTTCCTGGACCAGGGATCAAACCCGTGTCCCCTGCATTGGCAGGCGGATTCTTTGGTCTACTCCCATTTTTTAAAGTGAAAAAAAATGTAGGACTTCTTACTCAGAACACAATCAATAGACTGTAAAATAAAATTTCTGCCAATGAAATGGGAGAGGAGGAGCATTCTGGTCACACTCTCCGCTGCCTCGCTGTGGTCCCTCAGGTGCTGCCGTGGAACAAGACGACAAACGATGGTACAGGAAAACCAGGCTCAATCTAACGACCAGAAATGGAGGTCTCAGCCCCTGCTCTGCTACTGAGCTGCTCCTGAGTGAATCGGAAAAGCCACTTAACCTTTCTTGTCTTCTAGTTCACTTATTTTTTTTTATTGAGGGGCATGCCTGAGATAAATTTTGGGTCTCTTTGTTCTGTAAGACTTTTGAAATCATTCAGGGTGACATCAGTACCTGGAGCCCAATTGGGACACAGAGTGAAAGCTCTATAAATGTTAACTAATATTGAGTCATCATTTGCAAGGGGCAGGTCTCATTGTTTGGTGAGTAGAAACACAAAACAAAGGGAGTTTGAAACGCTTAAGAAATAGCATGGGGCTTCCCTGGTGGCGCAGTGGTTGAGAGTCCGCCTGCCGATGCAGGGGACACAGGTTCGTGCCCTGGTCCGGGAAGATCCCACATGCCGCGGAACGGCTGGGCCCGTGAGCCATGGCCGCTGAGCCTGCGCGTCCGGAGCCTGTGCTCCGCAACAGGAGAGGCCACAACAGTGAGAGGCCCGCGTACCGAAAAAAAAAAAAAAGAAATAGCATGCAATGGCAACTTTATGTCTTATCATCTACTTGAGAAATAACTTCATTGAAATAGCCAAGGTCAAGCAACTGATTCTTTTCTCTTGGTTAACCAGTTGTTATTCTTAATTCCTCCTTTGTAGAGATCTGTGAAGACCAAGCAGTCTTCTAGTAACCCATTATTATATATTTTGCTGTTCCTCTGTTTATAAATTACACTTTAGGGTATGTGCTTCCTATTTACCAAAGCCATCAACAAGATCACATCACAAAGTAGATTTGTTTTTGGAAAGAACTCAAGTGATTAAACTCTCCCTAGTTTATTTTATCTTCAACTGTATCTTCAACTGTATTCTGTTTTGATTTATTCCATAAGCCAGTAACCCTGACATTGTTTATTGTCATAGGTTTAGGCAAACTATAAATCTTAATAGGTTTTGACAGTCCTTAAATCTTAAAAAGTGTTTTTTTTTGTCTGCCAGTGAAATCCAAATCAGTATTAGTGAATGCCCGACACTATTTGAGGATACAAAAGAAAAGACATCGTACCTACCCACAGCAAGTGTACTATTAATACATTGAATGCAGAAGAAAATGGGGGTAAATTTACATTGCAAAATACCAGACACGTTGGCAGTCCTGTACAGAATCATGAAAATTGAGTCTATGCTTCCAAATTATGCTTTAGTACTAAAAAATTTTTTTAATTGGGCTACTTTAGAGAAATATGGTATACAACATGACTGAAAGAACTACTTTAAAAATCCTTCCTGGGGGCTTCCCTGGTGGCGCAGTGGTTGAGAGTCCGCCTGCTGATGCAGGGGACGCGGGTTCGTGCCCCGGTCCGGGAAGATCCCACATGCCGCGGAGCAGCTGGGCCCGTGAGCCATGGCCGCTGAGCCTGCGCGTCCGGAGCCTGTGCTCTGCGAGGGGAGAGGCCACAACAGTGAGAGGCCTGCGTACCGCCAAAAAAAAAAAAAAAAAAAAAAAAAAAAAAATCCTTCCTGGGAATTCCCTGGCAGTTCAGTGGTTAGGACTCCACACTTTCACTGCTGACCAGGTGAGGGCTCAGGTTCAATCCCTGGTTGGAGAACTAAGATCCCAAAAGCCATGCTGTGCAGCCAAAAAAAAAAAAAATCCTGAGAATAAGAAATCTTAAATTCACTTGAAATATGAGCAACTTTCTCTTGGACAGTTCTCCACTCTTGCATATTTGAAATCATGTTTATTCTTAAAGAAGTGTGTGTGCTTTTCTGGATAGAGGAAAGTTAGACAGAGTTATCTAACATATTGTTTGATGTTAATGAACTAAATATTCCCTATGAAGAGTGGTAACAGCCTTATTGGGCAGGAAAAAGAAAGAAACTAGATTCATCTAAAAAAACTGAGCTATATTCTTCTGCATACAGAATACTGAATTCAGTTGTTTCTAAGCCAGACTCCATTCATTTGTTCATTTACATACTTGTTCACTTATTTGCATAACATTTTGCTATGGGAATATAAAGAGGTATGCATCTTTTTAACTAAATGTTTGCTTAAGTTTTCCATATTCTGCTTGTGATTATGGAAGATGAATAAGTTTTATCAGGACATATAAACATAAACCTAGGGTATTTTTGATAGTAATTTACATAACTGAATTAATCTAACATTAAAATTTACTTTCACTTTGAACCCAAGTGCCTTGAAAATGTGAGTGAAGTATATAAGTATATAAATTATGAACATACAAATATTTATGAATTCCTAATTGGAACCTAGGCACCTTCATATACATACCCCACTTAACTTCATGATAATTCATCATTTACTAGGTCAAGGGTCTCAAAGATAATGTCTTATTTGAATTCAGACCTTCTAATTCTAAGCCCATTGCATCATCATCATTATCATTATTCCACTTACCAGCCATACATAGTTCTTAGATTATAGAACTTATCAGTGTTAATTTGGAATCCTGACTGCGATTTCCAATTAAGGCTATGAAGTGAATGAAAAATTTTGTCATCACAATGAGTAGTTGCTCCTGGAGTCCCCCACTCCCTTTCACATTCAGTCATTCCCCATCATGTTTAAGGAGGCAGATGGTATAGACAATGACGATGCCTAGTGTTTGACATGGATAATCACAGCCCCGGCCAAGAGTGAGGGATAGAGAAATCTCATTCAGTTGGTCAAACTAGAAATTTAATAAAGGGAAAAAAATGAGCTCACTTTCCTTCATCTAGCTCATAAACAGTGCAACGAAAGAGGAGTTTCTTATTCAAGATAGGACATTCTTGAGTTTATCAGCTAAAGAAAACAACAAGTGTACCAAAGTACCAACAATAAAAAAATCTCCAAACCTTCCAGAACTGTGAAAGGCAAAGGTTTGATAACGCTCAGAGTGTTTCATCAAGACTGTATTTTCCTAATGTTACATGTGACAGATTTGTCTGTTTAAAAGTCAGTCTTAGTACACTAAAAATCTAGAATCAGTGATATTGTGATTTATCCTCTGTCATCGTTGGATATCCTTTGTTTTAGCCTTTTTCAGTTCAAAAATGTTTACACCATGAGTATTTCCTTTCCTTACCATTAACTAAAGCCCTGCAGTATGTGGCGTTTAGTAGCTAGCGCTGACACACACAAGTATTAATCTGACTAAGATTAGCCTAATTAAGATTGTTATGAAGCCTTATACAAAGCAGACGTGTACAACACAGCAGGTAGCAATTATCTGGGCTTTTAAGTAGCATTGATATTGAAATGCAGATGAAGTATATTCAAATATCTGCCAGACCTTCCTCTTTAAAATAAAACTTGAAAATTCAAATTCTAACTTAAAGTCTTTTATGATATAGGTACAGCCAAGGTGTTGGTTCCTTCTTGTATAACCATTAACTTCTACTAGTCCTAATAATTGGCAGTGATATAATGATTTCAAAAAATATATAATGATTTCAAAATAATGATTTCTTTTTGGTTGTAATCAAAATGCTTGATAAATTAAAAACCAAGTCAGAGATCCAAGCACCTTCATTGAAAGTAGGATTATTTCATCAAAACTACTTTTTCTCTATTATAGTTTTTAGAACTGTGACATTTTCCCAAGAAACATCACAGTGTATACTCATCGCAAAATACCTGGCAAGAGGAAGTGTATAAACACTAAAAGAAGTAACATGCAAATATCTAGCCTGAATAACTCGTTCATTCGGTTGTTCACTTGTTTAATAAAAGCACGTTAATGATCTCAGGTTCTTACTTTTAAAGTTGACGTGAACACTGGAATTAAATTTGAGGCGACCATCTAGTAAACCATCTGAAGCAATAATTTATGCCTTACAGATACACTTGTATAACTGATCTCCATGTAAATGAGTTACCTGTTCCAGATTCAGAAGTTTAAACACAAACTGAAGCCGAATCTCCTGAAATGAGTTCCCAGTGGTCTAAAGAGAAACGAAAGACAGAATATGGACAGCTCAATTCAAATACAGCAACGTACCACTAGTAGGAGAAACAGTAAAGCAAAAAACATATGCCATTCTAATAGTGGGTGAGAAGAATCTTCCACAAAGGCAGCAGATATGTATGAGGATAAAATCACAGCTGTCTCTATAAGAGTGTTTTATGGACACCAGCATATTCTTACATTAGCTAATTTCATATTCTCAGAATTTTCCAAAATCATGGATCCAAGGGCAATTTCTCAAGGACTCAGGAGAATTCCATACTTACTGTTGTGTTACACATCAGAGACTCATACATCAAACTACACATAAAAAACCCATAGTTTTCTCAGTGAGGTAAATTTAACCAATAATGGAAGAATCTTAACGTATCTATATTGTAGTATTAGATTCTGCTTCAATAGGAAATGGCAAATACAACCGAAATGTTTGAATAAATTCTGACTTTTAAAAATTTCATTGTGGTCTAGTTTGGAAAATTATTACATGGTGGGATAATAGAACAAACTATAAGAGCTTTAAGACTTTTATAGACCTGTCTACAATCACACAGCCAATATTAAAACATACATTATTTATCTGAATATAATATCTCCTTTGGAACCATGTGCTTTATCTTGTAAATACAGATCTGCTAGAGGTGTAAAATGTGTACATTCTGATAAACTGCACTCTGCTTTGGACGAGTTATGATCTAATAGAAGTTAGGAATAAAAATGGAGCAGATTAAATTTAGGTTGGAATCCAACTTTGTTATGAATTTTTAAAAAGCCATTTTTCACTTGCACCAGAGTGCAGCAGCAAAGAAAAAGCAAATGTAGTTACCTAGATGCTTCAGGTAAAATACACTTTGCCCTAAAATATCTAGGTAAATGAGTTAAATATTTGTGCTTTGCTTGAAATTGGAGAACTATCTTTCATTGGGTTTTCCTAGACCAGGTCTCAGAGTGCTCTATGCTAGAGAAGTTTAATGTGTGTAGAAGTCTTCTTGGATCTTGTTGAATGCAGATCTGATTCAGTCCTTCTAGGATGAAGCTTGAGATTCTGTATGTCTAGCAAGCTTCCAGGTGATTCCCTAAGCTGTTGATCAGGGACTATACTTTGAGTTTCAAGGACAGAGCAAGAGGCCAAGAGACTTCTCTCTCACATTTCACGCCTATGTACAGGAAACTGAGGCCCAGGTAAAAATGCCACAATTCCGCATCAAGTCAGAGCTAAAATTCATCAGTAAGCCATAAAACCTGATGACTAAACCAAGGTTTGGCCAACCACTACACTCACGGGCCAAATCTGGTCCCAACTGCCCCAGCAAACTGCTTTACATATAGCGGTAACAGAGTAAATATTAAATTGAATTGACATTTCAGGTCTCTTTCTGGTGAGTCTTAATGTGCCAAGTAATCTAGATAAATCCTGTGATGAATTTTATCTTAAAGGTAGATAATATTAAAATTCCTTTTTTAAATATGAACTGTTAACAGAGCCAAAATCTCTACTTCATTAATGAATGGGCCTTCGTGGAACCTAATTTAAAGTAATAATAAATTTTAAAATTCCTCAAATTTTCTGTTATTCAGATTTCCTCCCTTTTTACACCTTCTATTTCTTGAGGTCTCAGTAAAGGGCAGATTTTATGGATACATTTAAATGCTGAGATACAATCAAAAAATTTACCTACCAGTTTCTCTATCAACCAAAACAAACACTAAGCTATTTAAACATTAGATTGATTTTTCTGAATTGAAAGATTTGCCTTATCTGAACTTTTATGCAAGTTAGCAAAAGGTGACTATCTCTAAATTTCAAGTAAATTCCATCAAGCTAAAGTTTGCCTCTGCTCTAACAATGGGATTAAGTCCAGTAATAGGAATGATAAATTGAGAAATGGAATGGTTGCAGTAGATATAAAATGTACCAAAATTGTAACAAAATCTCTACTCATTTTCAACCAAAAATTCCTAGATAATTCCTTAAAAGTAAAAGAGAAAAGATGAACCACTATCTGAATAATTGCTTCCATTTATATCTGTTTCCTAGTTAATTCACCTTTAATATTTTTTTCCTAAGCCAAAGTTTCTAGTCTTTAATTCTGTAATAGCTGCTTTACTTTTTCTGGAAAGATTAGAGAAATGTCAGAAAACTGAGGACTGATGATGCTTACAGGTTATTTCAAAACTGTTTTTCAATAATAATTAAAATCTTATAAAGAGATCATTTTATTTAAACTTTTCCCAAATCATTTTTGATTCAGATATATCTAAAAAAGTTATCAGAATAATATAACTTATCTGAGGATAAAAGTTCAAAACCATTGCTTTAGCTTCAATAATAATTGCTACTAATTGCTACCAGGAACCGTTACAATAATAACTGTACATTGTCTTTAAATCTCATAGCCATCCTACAAAGTAAGTGTCTTCAACCCCATCTTAGAGCTGAGGAAAGAGATAATGAGGTTAAATAACTAAGGCCATGTAACCAGTAAGTCAGGAAATAGGGAACTAATGTAGCCATTTCTGAGAGACCAGAGCCTGAGCACAGGAAAATCACACAACACAGTTAGCTGGCATCTGGATATCCTCGGAACATCAGCAAAAACAACAGATGTTGAGGATACATCCTCTACTGTCCATATGTAAGAAATGCTATAGCCTATTACACTGATTTGGAGGCTCTTTAAAATTTTTTTTTCTTTTTCACTTTTTCTTCAGTTGCTGGCAATCTTTCTGCTGCATTGTCTGTGATGGTAGCTGGCTTCTTTGAAATACACAGAAAGCACTTCCATCCAGTCGAGCAGTCCTTTCAGGCAAAGTTGCCACCATTTCCTCCATGCCCTGTTTCCACCTTGTTCTTCAATACATTTTACTTGGAGTGGCTGAAACTCTGGTCAACCCAGCCCGTGAGTAACAATTTTTTCACCACCTGTTAGAACATACTGAGTCTTCACACAGAACACATCACCTCAAGCAGCTGGAGATCTAGTCCCACACTGGAGATTTCCCACAATGCTTCAGAACAAGCCTATGCATCACCCTCATTTTTAAAAAATGTATAATTACTCTTCCTTCCTTTACTACATACAGACTATCATTAATTCTACCTGAATATAGATAGAATGGAACGTACGATTTACTAACTTGGTTAAAGGCAGTGATCATTTGGTCAGATACACGACAGGAGGAAAAAACTTTGCTAAAATCTAGAAGACACCACTGACATATGCAGATGCAAACTCTCCTCTTCTCCCTTCCCTGTTCCCACCCCGCTCCCTCTCATTCATAGATAAACTCACATATATACTCCCTCCAAGAATGACATTTCTAATGTACTTTCAGAGTATATAAGTATGCAAAGCAATGAAAATTTGAGTCAATTTTCCAGACAACTCAATGTCTTTAAATTAAATTACACTAAATTAAGTGGGATCACTAGTGTTTCATAAGACAGGTTCAAAGTAACTTTATTAAAAATCAAGCGTTTTCTGGCATATCTAGATGGCTGATATTAATTAAACTAGCCACTTAAAAATTCATCACAATATTTCTGTGACTTCTTGCACAGAAATGTGTGTGTGTGTATTTGTGTGAGTGTGTGTGTGTATTTATCAGTGTGATCTATTGCATCCTATATTTCTATCTTCCTTATTGTTCCCTGTATGGGGAATCCTGATTGTAACTCAAGCACCAATTATACTTTACCAAGATTATTTTTATAACTTCCTAACTCTTCCTACCTTTAACATCTCTCCTGTTCTAGCTACTCAATTCACAACCTTTTGAGTAATTATCCTAAATGACAATTCTACCAATTCTACGATTCTTTCCCTTGTTTAAAATCTTCAATGATTCTATTATCTTCAGTTATTCTTAAATTCCTTAAAGAAATATATATTTTATATATATATACATGCACACATACATATATATGATGCTGAAGCAGTTCTTTGAAAAAAGTCAAAATAAAATTGTGTCATTACAGTCATATATATGTTAGACTTCTTTTTTATAATTTTAAATCATTTCATTCCACATGAAATAAAAGGTTTTATGAGATTCTAAATGTGGCTATCACTGTGTAACACTACAAGGAATACAACAGAAGTATAAAAGAATGCCACCACACAAATATTTGTGACTTCCTTGATGTTTCCAGAAAATTGTTGGACGTAGTCAGCCAGAATTTTATAGGTTAGATGTGAAGAAAGGTAATGTATGAAGGTGATGAGTGAATACAGTCAGGAAATGCCCAGCCAGCTAAGCAATTGTGGTTCAACACACAAAAGCCAGAGAGGCACTTACACACAGACTTAAAAAGGCAGATCATGTAGTATAAATCATTTAGTCCACCCATCCCTGATTTACCCATCTGGAAACTGAGGCCAAACTAAGTCAACTGACTTATCCTCTACAGAGCTCATGGGGTAGGGACCAGAAACTTTGTTTTGATTTACAGCTTTGTCACTTACTACATGTGTGACCTTAAAAATTCATTTAACCACTAAGCTTCACCTTTTAGATCTTTAAAATGGAAATAATTATAATCCTTCCTTATATCACAGCATCAGTGTAACAGTCAATGGGAATGAAGCCTACTTCTTGAGAATTAAATGACATAAAATGTGAAAGGGTGTTTTGAACTGTAAAATCAAGAATCACTCTTCTGGAAGGCAGTACAGCATAGCTGTTAATATCGATGGTCTTAAAGTCAGGCAGATCTGAATTCAAACCCACTTCAGCCACTGACTGGTTGTGTGACCTTGGCAAAATTATTCTGCATTTCTGAGCCTTTCTCATCATCTACAAAATGGGGAAGGGATATCGTAAGGACTAAGTGAAATATTTCACGTAAAGGAAAAAAGCAGAGTGTCGAATATATAGACAGCACTCAGTATTAGCAGCAGTAATGTATGCTGTTATTTTTGTTACTATCTTTCACATAAATTAATAGTCCAAGACTCAGGGCTCAAGCACAGATGTATGGCTCATAACTCTTTCTACCACACCTACCACAATGTGAGCACCAGGAGACCTGGCAGTGTGGGCAGAATCGTGTCTTTCTCACCAGTCGTTCTAGGTCCCTTTTTTCTCCTCACTTCTCACCTCCAATCCAACAGCAAGTCTTTGTCTTTACTCTGAAATATAATCTAAATCTGGCCCTGTCTCCAAATGAATTGATCTATGAAACACAAACAGACTCAGAGACCTAGAGAACAGATCTGTGGTTGCCAGAGGGGAGGGGGTGGGGGAGGGAAGGACTGGAAGTTTGGGGTTAGCAGATGCAAATTATTACATATAGGATGCATAAACAACAAGGTCCTACTATATAGCACAGGCAACTATATTCAATATCCTGAGATAAACCATAATGGAAAAAAAACCATTAAGAAGTGTCTTTATATGTATAACTGAATAAACTTTGCTGTATGGCAGAAATTAATACAACATTGTAAATCAACTGTACTTCACTAAAAATAAAATTTTTTAAAATGAAAAAATGACAACTAAATCTGGCTCTGTCTCACTATGTCCTTTGCTATCCACCTGGTCTCTAATCCCAATTCCTTTTTTTTTTTTTTTTTGGCCATGCTACAAGGCATGCAAGTTCTTTCCCAACCAGGGATTGAACCCTTGCCCCCTGCATTGGGAGCATGGGGTCTTAACCACTGGACCGCCAGGGAAGTCCTCTAATCCCAATTCTTTCTGAGCCTCCTAACTTGTCTCCCTGCTTCCTCTCCTGCCTGAGCCCATTCTCTTAACAGCTATCCTGCTCTTTCTAAAACATCAGTCCTGTCGTTCCCCTGCTTAAAATTCCACAATAGGGATTTGGAGATAAATTCCTTAAATGGTGAGTAAGACTCCACATGATTCAGCCTCCGTGTACTGCTCCAACCACATTCTATAACATTCTTTCCCCTGATCGCTTCACTAGAAATTTGATGATCTTCATTCTGTGTTTCTAAGGTGTCAAACTTATTTTTGCCCCAAGGCCTTTGAATTTCTTCTGTCTAGAATCTCTTTTCTTTCCTCTTCAAGCAGCTGGCTTCTCCTCATTATTGAGTTTTCTCAAAGATCATCTCGTCAGAGAGGATTCCCTGGTCATCCCATCATCTTCCAGTCCATTACCCTGTTCCACTTTTTTTAAAATAACACTTGTGAGAATCAAAAATTTTCTTATTTATAAGTGTATGTTTATTGCCTGCCTCTCACCATGAGAATGTACAGTCTTGAAGTACATTTTCTGATCTTTCTTTTTCATCTCTGTATTCTTCTGTGTTCTGAAAAGTACACATATATGGTAGGTGATAAATAAGTATATTTTATATACTAGATTGAATAAACTAATGAATGGATGAACTCTATAGCCATTTCTATTTGAGTATAATAGAAATATATAATTCAAATTACTGACAGTGTCCTACGTTGTTGGCACTGAGAAAGCAAGCACAGTGGATCACTTCCGAAATTTCAGTGGACATTTTTTACCCCGCTAAGTCATGGTGGACATTGAAGATGATCCGCAAGAAAAAAAAAAAAAAACACTTCAAATTATGTCTTAATCATGGTAGTGTATACCCCAGCTATCTCATAACTTATTTTTGTTTATTCAAATAATACTGTGTGGGTGTCTACAATATGCCTGACACTGCTCTAGGAACTTAAGACACATCAGCTTAAAAAAAAGAAAGAAAATATTTCTGCCATTGTAGGACTTATATTCTACCAAGGGGAGAAAGGTAATACACAATAAATGTAATAAATACATCACAGAGCATGTTAGAAGTTGATGCGTGCTAAAGAAGAAAAGATAGAAAAGGATAAGGGGAATCAGAAACGCCAAGTAGGGAGAGAACAGGTTGCAGCATTAAGAGATTGGTCAGGATAGACCCCAGTGAGAGGTGACATTTGAGCAGAGACTTGAAAGAGTTGAGGGAGTCATCCACATGGATATATGTAAAGAATATCATTGCTGGAAAAGCAGTCAGTAAATGCAAAGATGGGAGGTGTGTCTGGCAAGAAAGTGCAAGGGGTCTCATGCAGTTGGAGGAGTGAGGAAGAGAGAAACTGGTAACAGATGAGTCAAAGTGGCCATTGTAAAGACTACAACTTGGGGCTTCCCTGGTGGTGCAGTGGTTGAGAGTCCGCCTGCCGATGCAGGGGACACGGGTTCGTGCCCGGGTCCGAGAGGATCCCACATGCCGCGGAGCGGCTGGGCCCGTGAGCCATGGCCGCTGAGCCTGCGCGTCCGGAGCCTGTGCTCCGCGGGGGGAGAGGCCACATCAGTGAGAGGCCCGTGTACCGCAAAAAAAAAAAAAAAAAAGACTACAACTTGGGCTCTGAGTGACATGGGAAAAGGAGTGACATGATATTACTCACACTTAAAAAAAAGAAAAACCCTCTCTCTGCTGTAGAGAATATACTATAGTGAGGAAAAGGATAGATACATGGAGGTAATAATCCAAGGAAGACAAATGAGTGTCTCAGAACAGGAAGAAGCAGTATAGGTAGTGAGAAATAGTCAAAGTTTAGTCATATTTGAAGACAGACCACTAGAGTGAAAGAGGGGAGTTAGCGATGACATCAAAGTTTTTGACCTGAGCAACTGGAAGGATGGAGTTGACATCTATAGAGAGATAACAGGCTACCGGTGCAGCAAGCCTTGAGGAGAAGATCACGAGTTTCATGTTGGACATGTTGAGGATGAGCTGTCAAACAGAGATATCAAAAAGGGCATTGGATATCCAAGCCTATGATTTGGTACTGAAGTAGGGGACAGATGCAATTTGACAGTCATAAGCATTTCAGTGGTATTTAAAGTAATGGGACTAGTTGAGATCACCAAGGGAGTCAGGGTACATAGGAAGTCAGTGTAGACAGAGAAGAGGATTCAAGAACTGAGAGCCCTGAGGCACTCCATTATGAAGACATTCAGGAGATGAGAAACTTGCAAAGGAGATAGAAAAGAACCTGAGTAAAGAAGAAAACCAAGAATGCAACATCTTAAAAGTCAAATGAAGAAAAGGTATCCAGGAGGAGGGAATGATCAACTGTGTCAAATGCTGATGGATCAAACAAGCTGAGGACTGAGAATTGACTATTGAATTAAACAATCTATGGGCTATGGGTGATTTTGGCAAGAGTTTTTTGTATGCCCAGAATGGGAACGTTCAAAAGCCTGACCAGAATAAGTTTAAGGGATAACGGGACAAGAAGAATTGGAGACGATTCATTTGAAAAACTTTGCTACAAAGGGAAACAGGGGAATGAAACAGTAGCTGACAAGGAATGGGGTTAAGAAAGGGTTTTTTATTTGTATTGGTTTTAAGGAAGAAAAATGATGGCATCACAGATTATTCTGGTGGGAATGATTCAACAGAGAGGGAAAATTGATGGTGTCAGGAAAATACAAGTTGAGAATTGGCTTACACAGTAGCAAGCATAGTTCATCAATGGGGACAGTTTGGAAGTCAGAGTGTGTAGATGCAGGAACTCATGGTGTGGAGATTCTATGGAAATTCTCTTCCAGCTAATTCGATATCTTTAGTGAAGTAGGATGCCAAGCCATGAGCTGAGGATGAAGGAGGACATCTTGAGGGTTGGAAGAGAGGGGAAAGGCGTGTAGTCGTTGTCTAGAACAATGGGGAGTGAAGGAACCAGGGAGATAATATAGAAGTTACCACGGAGCATAAGGAGGCCATTTGAGGTTTGTGGGCAGGAATTTAAAATGGGTTGGTCAACGGGGTTATAAGGTTTTCTCCAGCCACATTAGACTGCATGGATATAGGAGCAGAGATAGCAGATAAAGAATTGTTTTGCCAATCAATTTCCAGAAAGCAAGAGACAGGCAAAGAAATGAGGGAATGTGGAAGAATATGACTCTGACAGTTGAACTTAACTCATCCAGTGGAACTTAACTTGAGTAAAAAGAGTAGTGAGAACATGAAGGGCATGAAAGAGGTGAAAATAATAAAAGGAGTAATGGAGTGGAGGCCCTGAAGGAGGACAAGCATTCTGGTGGTTGAGTAGTCAAGAGTAAGCTGGGAAGATGTAAGGTGGTAGTCAGAGGAGAAGGCACAAAGTTGAGATTATGGAATGGTGACAATTATTACTCTAGGGCATGGGCTGGCAAACATTTTCTTAAAAGTGTCAGATAGTAAATGGTTAGGTTTTACACTCTACTCTCTGTTAGAACTACTCAACTCTGTCATTGTGGTGTATAAGCAATCAGAGACAATATACAGTGAATGCGTGTGGCTCTGTTCCAATAAAACTTTATTTATAAATAGGTGGCAGGCTGGACCTTACCTGACTGTAGTTCAACAACCCTGGTCTGGGGTGCAAGATTCAGGGCGTGACCATGGGTGTGAGTGGCTGATGTCAAGTGGAGGACAAGGACATTGGAAAGGAGGTCAGGAACCGGGAAACCAAGAGATGGCAGGATGGAAGGTTGGGAGGATGATCTATATGTATGTGTGTGTTAAAATTGCTGAGGATTAAGGCAGAAGTGGAACTGGAGAGTGTGACCATTAGAGGGGAGCTGATGACTTTGAAAAATAGAGGAAAATGTCTTAGCGATTGGTGGCTGACAGCACAAAAGAGAAATATTAGGTGATATAATTGGGTAACATGAGATTCAAAGCTGAAGCTTTTTAGGGATGAGGAAGGAAAAATGACCTGAAAATGGAAATAGTATAAAGTTCCATTTTCTAGTTCTGTGGTGCTTCTCCACATGTTCAAAATAACCCCTCACCAAATGCAATAAACACATTTTAACTGTTTAAGAACAACTGGAGTAAAAGAAATTTCCAGCAAAGAGTTCCTAGCACCAGGTGCGTCAGGAAGGCAGTTCTGGCCCTAGAGTTTGTAGATTCCGCATATGCTGTGATGGGGCATCTTTGCAAAACACTAACCACCCTCCACCTGGAGACACATTTCAGCTCTCTTTGGCAAGAAGACCAGCTTTCCCATACACTGAATATTTTTTACAGTGTCTTCACAGTAAAATGAGAATTTTAGAATAGTGGCAGACTTGTTGATCGTATCTATACTACAACATGCCAAAAGAAGTATCATGGAGCCTAAAATATCAATCTGGTGATCACCAAAGTTGAAAAAGATCAGAACATGCAAGTAGACGCCTGGAAGTGGAGATCGGAGGACTTCAAGTGCTAAGTCCTATAAAAGGGAACCGGAGGCTTTCAAAACGATGAAAATGACATCAAAGAGAGATTCACCAGCAGGCAGAGAGCTGGCAAAGTGTGTTCATGAATTATATACCGCACCAGAAGTTCTAGCAAGAGAAAAGCACAGGATTAATAATTCACTAGCAAAGTAATAATGGGCTTGTAGAGTTTCTGCTTTTTCTCAGTGAAAGAAATCGGCCTACTTCGTCTTTCTGCCCATTGTTTGTCTCCTCGTATTTATAAAGAGGAAAGTTCATAAGCCACATCCTTTTTATAACCATGAATCTTTTCTTCCCAAAGCCTCTTCAGCATTTTCCTCGTACTCTCCCTTGGATCTTCCTGAACAAAGCTTGCGAGCTTGGCCTCGGGCTCCTGCGGGTGGTTTGCACTGCACAAGAGAGCTCTGGTACCCACGGCCTCCTGTTGCGATATTTGAAGCCCTTCTTCACAGTATTTTATTTCTCACCATCACTACCTTCATCTCCAGTAACTATGTGTGGTATTAAGTGCCCAGTTAGCACCGCCTGTAGTATTGTGCATATCTCTGCTTTCTGCCCTCCCAGGGTTTAAAATCCAGGAAAGATGTACTGATGCTTTTTTCCCACCCTCGGCCCCAGAACTCAGCACATCTGGAGCACAGAGACTCCTTTAAATGTTTATCAAATGGTAAATAAAAACACGTGGAGAACACACAGAAAGCAAAACAGAAATGTTAAATGAAAACAGGAAGGAACGTGAATACATTGACATTAGGTGTTAGTAAGTTCATTTAAAAGTGCTGGACAGGGCTTCCCTGGTGGCACAGGGGTTGAGGGTCCGCCTGCCGATGCAGGGGACACGGGTTCATGCCCTGGTCCAGGAAGATCCCACATGGCGCGGAGCGGCTGGGCCCGTGAGCCATGGCCGCTGAGCCTGCGCGTCCGGAGCCTGTGCTCCGCAATGGGAGAGGCCACGACAGTGAGAGGCCCGCGTACCGCAAAAAAAAAAAAAAAAAAAAAGTGCTGGACAAATGCAGAGTTTTACTGGGGTAAAAGTACAGAGAAACCAGGGGTGAAGTCTTCCTGAGAGGGAAGGGAGAAGGTAATAAAATCTCATTCTTCTTAGAGAGAGGGAAACTAAAGGTTTAGTGCTTACGGTATATCAGTTTTCTATCACCACATTTCTTTTTTAAAAGAGCTTTAGTGTTTATCTACTAGCTCTCATTGTAGACAAATTTGCAAAGTTCAAAAGAGTAAAAATCCAATAATTTAGCCCGTCAAAGCTAAAACTGTTCATGCTATTTAATGTGTTTACTTACAATATTTTGCCTCTCATATACAAAAGAGAGAGATGAGTACGATAAACTCCCATGTATTCATGTTCCAGCTTCACATTTTAGCTTTATCCCTTAGATTGCCATGCATATTTTCACATAGTTATGTTGATATGGAATGTACAAAATTATATATACTTATTTCATTTATTTCTGATATTGAAAAAATTATTTTTAAGCAAAAATTAAAAAGAACTTTGCTCCGTGATTTTCTTTCAACCTCTTACCACCATCATTACTATTACTCCAACGATGACTTGGGGGGGAAAAAGATAACCATTTTGGAGACCCAATGCTTAAGCTACTGTCTCTCCTTAAATGGGCTAATTTAAATGCATATAAAGGGCTTTGCACAAGTAGTTAGGGGCTATTTGATTTGGTAAAATTAATACTGTTAAAAATAGCTAAACTTATTCAGCATTGTAATAAGCACTTTACATATACTATAGCAAGTAACAGTCACAGCACCTCACCAAGTGAGTAATGGTCTTACTCTCATTTTATAGAGAAGAACACTGAGGCTTAGGAAGTTTAAGTAACATACTTAAAATCACAGAGGTAGTAAACAGTTGACCCGAGATTTTAGTATAAGCTTATCTAACTCCAGAGCCCATGCTGTTAACCTCCATGCTAGTTTTCTATGATAAATTCAAGATTTCTATAGGGAACCTAATGATGTACACAGAAGTACAGAATCATAGACCTTATTGATAGATTGCCATGATATTAACCAGTACAAGCCTTAGCTCAATCCAAAATTCACAAGAAATATTCCAATTGAGGTGAAATTTGGGTGAATATATTGGGACACTTAACCACCAGTAATCAAATTTTCCTTGTACCATTACAGCAGTATATTTTGCCATTTTTTATTCCTTGTAGACATCTGTAAATTGTAACATATATAGCTTACTATAGTAACTTTAACAAAGTCCAACAGAAATTTTGGCTGTTTTGGTAAACTTTCTTTGAGGTATGATCAATACTAATTTGAAGAGTATCTATGAAAGTATTTTAAAGAGAATGTTCTAAATTCTGACCTTTTTTCTTCTCAGTCTCTGTAATATCATACAGATTTGTTCCAGGTACCATCAGAGGAAACTTTATGAATTGTTTGACACTGTTCAATGGTTTTGGTTGTTTCATGGGGGCACTGATGGTGGAGCTGGTCTACCTCATCTCAGAAGGTAAAAACAGTTTCACGGTATGCTTATATATATATTGATTTGATGACTAGAGAATTGAGGGACAAAACCTTAAGAGAGGGGCTTTGCTACTGTAGTCTTTTTTCAAATTGATCCACTTTTGCAATTAAGATAGAATTAAGATAGGAAATAGACTCTTGCTGTATTCATTAATTTCTAGGAATTGTTTTTCTTTTGATAGGGGGAGGTAATTACAGAATGTCACTTCTCATGAGACCCTGTCTACTGTCTTTCTTTCGTGTATTTTAAAACAAACGGGTCATTATATTCTTACTAGGTCTTTCAACAGGGCTGTATTCCATAATGTGTCATAGCTGGCATAGGTGACCCTCAGAAAAGGTAAGTCCTGTGTAAATATAAGAGGACAGGGTATCTGGATGATCCTTTAGCCAGAAATAGTGTCTGTGCAACCAAAGAGAAATTGTGAGTTGAATGACAACTGATCTTGGAAAATTTTCCCTGTAGATATTTTGGTAAGGAGAAACAATCTGAAAAATTCACATGCAACATAAAAAGTACTACACGTATATGGGCTGGTAGAAAAATCACACAGGATAACATTAAAGATTAGCTGTCACAGTGAAATGTCTTTGGCTGTTTTTAAAATCTACAGACTTTTTCCTTTATTTGTTCTGAGAGGTTAATACAGCTTAAAATTTATTACATTTGCTTGTGCTTATTTTATGGGAAATACTGCATGCCTATTCTCTGCTTTCAAAAATACTCAGTTATACTTTTAAAATAATGTAAAGAAATATTCATTTGTATTCTCTACAAATAAATTTTACTTGCCTACGTTCACACTATGGAAAACATAAATTCTATGAACGAGAAACTCCTTTTAACACTAGGGTATCCATTCAAAAAATATTTATGGAGGATCCACTCTGTTCCAATTACCATATTGGGCGCTAGAAACACCATGGCAAGCAAAATAAACTTCCAAACCGTCACAAAATTTCCAGGGGTGTAGGGAAGCAATAAAATTGAGTGTTGAATTAAATGATAGGTACAGTGGAGTTCTAGGGAACAAATCTACAATCGTTGATTGTTAAGATCAAACGCTGTTCTTTTCTTAGTTGACTGAGAAAGTTAAGCCAAAGTATATATTGAATACTTATCATGTGCTAGGCCCTGTGCTACATGGAATTATGTGAGATATGGTTCCAGTTTTCAAAGGGCTCAAATCCAAACTGTCACAATTAAGTGTGAACTACAGGAGTTGTTGACATCTCTGATGATTAGATTCTTTAAATGCAAACAAAGAACAAAGCACTGGTATTAGGATTTTATAAGATAACTTGGGAAATTCTAAACTATATCTCTACCTCAACATCTTAGTTGTTGAACATGTTTATTTTCTTCAACATTACTCAATGAAGATGTTTCTGAAAATTTGCTAAAAAAAGGTCTATAATCAAATTACATTTGACATATTCTAGAAAGACTGCGAAGTCAAACATTACTATCAGTTTACCTTTTATATAAGTCTAAATTTTTCATATACATGCTTAAGCAACTGACCCAGAGTCTGGCCAAACTTCAAGTTAAGTTCTCCACAAGGCAGTTCTCACTTTAGTCATCAGCCACAAGTTTGGAGGTCCCCAGGGCTGCCATCACTTCTGATAAGCTGGCTATAAATATGGAGATTCCCCACAGACTCCCCCTCAGAACTGATGATTTGCTAGAAAGCACAATACTTAGGATTACAGCTTTATTATAGCAAGAGAATACAAATGGGAATGTGATAAAGGGAGAGAGGCATCAAACAAGGTCTGGGAGGGTCCCAAAAGTGAAGCTTCTTTCACCCTGAGAGATGTGGTACCCAACTGGCACATCAGTGTGCGACAATACGCAGAGTATTATCACCCAGGGAAGCTTACCTGAGCTTTGGTGTGCAGACTTTTTATTGAGGCTTTATTATGTAGGCAGATTGACTGAAACATTGGCCATGTAGTTTAACTCAATCTCCAGCCTCTTTTCTCTCTTAAGAGATCGGGCTGATATCCTGTGGCTCAAAACCCCAAACCTCTAATCATATGGTTGGTCTTCCTGGCTGGCCAGCTCCCATTCTGAGTCATGCCATTAACATAAACCATCAGGTGGGGCTTAAGAGGCCAATCTTGAATAACAAACATACTTCAATCACTTAGGAAATTCAATGGTTTTAGAGTTTATCTCCCAGGAACCAGGAAGAAAGACCAGGCAATTTCTCTATCATGCACAACTATTCTTGCAAGTACATTTCACTGAAAACCTAAATTTTTATTGAGAATCTGCATAGTGTGGTAGGACCTGTTATATACATTACTGGGTTTATTACAGCAATCTTATAAAGTTGATATTACTATCCTCATTTTTTGAAACTTAATAATTAAGACAGAAAGAAGAAAATGAAGTGCTTCAGTCACCACCACTAGAATCTGACAGAGCTCTGACCCTCCCAGCATCGTGAAACCAACGCCAGTGTTTTTCTTCAATATTTATTTACTTATTTAAGTTTCCTTTGGCTATGCCAGGTCTCAGTTGTGGCACACGGGATCTTTGTTGCGGCATGTAGGATCTTTATTTGCAGCCAATGTTGATTTTAATACATCAAACAGCTACTAAGGGTCACACAGTGTAAGGGCTTTTTACTTCTGCAATAAAATCTCCTTGGATGGAGGTCTACATGTAGGATATTATTGAGAATATTCTAGACATAGTAAAAGATAGATTTTTAAAAGTTTATATAATTTTGGCAGAGTTTGGTGTCCATGAAAGGAGGTTTACTAAGAACACATGGTAAGGACATCTTAGCAACATGGGATGTGCAGGGGAGATTCTCTAAACTTATGTTCAAAAGAACACCATTTAAATTACTGATGATTGATTTGATTTACTTCTGAAAACTTTTTTTTCTGTTCATAGTAATACCGTGTTACATCAAATCACATCCCAATAAATTAGAATCTTACAGTTGGATATCACCTTAGAGGTAATCTAGTCTAACATTGTACCAAAAACTAGAAGATGTACCATCATCTTCCAGTGCCCAGAAAAATTCTCTACTTTGAGAAGTAACCTAAGTCTACCCATCTGTTGATAACTGTATTCCACAGGATAAGCTTAGTTTTCTATCCACATATCAACTCTTCAAACATTTGATAAATATTTGGAGAAGTAATGTGGTACAATGTTTAAAAGAGTAGGTCCTGTAGTCAAACGATATGAATTCTAATCCAGGTAGTCTAGCTGTGTGTCCTCAGTTTTCATGCCAAAAACAACAACAATAAATAATTCATCATGTTGCTGAGAGGATTAAGTAATTAATATGCACAATAAGTGCTCAATAAAGACAGCTATTATGATCCCCTTCTATTTTATAGACAAACCACTCCAGTTTTTTTCATGTTACATGCATGATTCCCTGATTTTTCACTATCAAAACCCCTCCATCCGTTAAACAAACAAATTGTCAGTATCTTTCTTAAAATATGGTTTCCAGAATCAATCGCAATACTCAAAATGGGTACATCAAGATAGATATGTTACTTCTATCAACCTTCTCTCTCCTCTCTTTCTTAATGCCAACAGCGACTGTGGTGACTTTTTCAGTAATTGCATCACACCTATGGTAAATTAAAACCTGAGGCTTTTTTTTATTTTTGGCAGTTTTTCTCAATTCAGTTCCAGTCATCTTATCACAATTTCTTTTCCTAATTAAATGGGGCACTTTATCTCTATCCTTAATAAATGTCAACCCATCATTCTAAATAACAGACATTTTAAAAACTTGACTCTGTCATCCAGTGAATTACTAATCTTTACTTCTTTACCAGCTTTGTGTCATCTGCAAATTTAGTAAGCAAGTTCCTCGACTTCTTCCAGGTAATTGATAAAATTGTTGAACTGGACAGGACCAAAACCAAAGCCTTGTGGAAAATTCCTAGAGATCTCACTGCAAGTTAATGACAATCAACTAATCCTCCCCTTTTGGATATAATCATCTCCCACTTCACCTAATTACTATCATTCAGCCCACACACTTCTCCATCATTCCCAGAATGACATCACAGGAGATTTTTGTCACACGTTTTTCTAGGAATAGGATGTATCTGAGTTTGTGACAGTCCCTTTAACCATCAGATTAGCATTCGTCAGGAAAGGAAATGAAGTTCATTTAGATGATTTGGTTTTAGTGACCATAAACTGGCGTATGGTGACTAATTAGGGCCCCTAAGAGAGGGTGATCCTTTGACTTTTTGCATGACTTTGGGCAGGTCATCATCACTCTGTTTCCTCTTACGTAAAAAAAGAGAATGCTGCACTTCAGTTTTCTCAGAGATGATGGGAGGATAAAATTAAGTAATGTATTGAATGAAATTTGTATGTATGAAATTTGTATGTATGTAATGAAATTTTAATGCCAGAGATTATTTTAAATATAAAATAAAGCCATAGTGGCACATTTGGTTAGAAATAAGATGGGTCTATTTAATCAAACAACCAGACCAATTTCTTTGACAGAACCGACCATAGTGAAAAGAACATTATAGCTCTATGCTTAAGCATCTCACAAGCCTCCACATTCCATTTAGCATATAGGATATTTTAAACCTTCAAGGATTTATGTCAGCAGAGCATGTGTGTATGTGAGTGCGTGTGTGAGTGTTAGCGTATGATTGGAAAAGATGATCAGCTACCACGGTCTCCAAGCTGCATTAGTCATTTTTAGCACCATGATGGAGAATGGTGTGAATGCGGTAAATTCAAAAGATTTCTCAAAACTTGACTGTGCAGACAGATAACTGTTAGAATGACATTTTCAGTACAAGTGAGAAAACTGATCCTTCTGGGATCTCTAACTCTGAGTGCTTTAAAGAAGATACAAGACTAAACCCATCCTCCTACACTAATCAGGAATAGTTTATCTAAAAGTAGCAATGCTAATAAAAGGGAGTGAAGAAGTCAGTCAAACTGCTTATTTCGACTCTATGCCA